AATCCTCCCGCTAAGGTAGTCCTGACCAAGACTTGGACCAAGATTTGGAGATGGTCCCCCTGCTCCTGACAGGTTTAACCCAGAGACACTGAAGGATAGGTCAAATGCAGAGGACACATTTGCCTATGGGGATAGGAAAGTGTACCTTAACCTCAACCTTATTCAATTACAGGTGTTTTCATTGTTCCAAAATACCTTGAGAAACATGCATTCTTACTATGACTCTCCACAGACTTGACTTGTAACTTGGCATCGCTTGTGTCCATGGAGATAGACAAGTTTAATGCCAAAATTGTAGACAAAAAAATCTGGAACACTTTCTTAAAGGGCCCACAGTACACTATTTTCTGATTTATGTTCAATGCTGTTTCCATCCAAAGCATACCTTGAGTTGTGTTTCATTCACACAAGTTTAACACACAAACCCTCCATATTTAGGATGAATTCTACTCTCAGAAAACACTCTGTTCCACCTTGTGATGTCATGTGGTAATATAGGAATTGCTCCACTGTGTTTTTAAACTCCATACACGTTCACTATGAAGCATTTTGATCATTTTAGCCTGGAATGGCCAATCTCTATTGAACAAAGGATTGAGGAGGATTAAATATAAAGGATTACTCAAACATGTGTGAGTAAAGTAAGATTATATAATGGTTATATTATATAAGACATTTTATATTACACAATTTTGCGTTATGTAGTACCTTTAATTGTAAGTGATTCTAAACAGAGAATCCATTCTGACATAAACCTTTCAGCAACAAGAGCCTCCAGGTCTGAGTGAATAAGGGAAGTGCACTTTACATGGGCCTGATAAACATAATGGACTTTAATCTGATCAATGTCAATACAAATGTAGTGTTATTACTCCAATAGACAAACATAGACTCTGCTGACAGGAGTCCTAATGGTGAGGATAAAACACCATGTGATTCAATGGCAGAGCTGTGGCCAGTGGAAGGATATGGGACTTATTTGGAACAATACTGCCTCCTGCTGGATGTAAGTACTATTCCTGACCTGCTGTCACTGCTATTCAGATGTACTAGGTAGAGTAGCAAACGTAACTACCTGCTACAGCAGGTATTGTTTATAACCAGATTTAAACTGCCTCACTCCTACTACTGTTATTGGCAGTAGATCAATCAAATCAAATCAAAAATCAAATTTTAAAGGTGTGTTATGTCACTTATCAATCTTTATTGACACAAGTGAAGGATTCTAATCTAGTTATCTCTCCTGGGCCCTACTTGACTATTCTTATGGTTAGCAATATGATTCATTTTCCATAAATATTCAAAAGCATGAGACAAAACAATACACCAACATTTCCCAAATCTGATGCGATGTGCCTAAGTTTCATTAGTGGGAGGCACAGTGATTGTATTGTGAGAGCACTCTAAAGTGGAAGTGACTTAACACAGATAGTTGATTCAAAAGTAAAAACTGGGACACCCCCCGTTTGAGGTGGTTGGTAATAATAACATTGTGAAACGAGTGCATAATTTAAGAAAACCGTTTTGCACTCGGCCCATTCATGACTTACATGTGAGTCAGTACAGTCACATTTTGTTTGTGCTTTGGTCATTTTTAAGCGGCTTTCTGTATTTTACCCCAACAAATGACAATGTATGCCTCTCTTTACTGTTGGCTGGTTAAAAAAAGGAACACCAGGGACATTTCTTATATAAAATAGTGACAAATCAATGGTTTTGGATAAATCCACTGAGACAGGGGACACAGGGCTCAAAACTGTGATTGTCCTGGGGAAATCAGAACATCTGGTCACCCTATGTTAGCAGTTAATACCCCACAGAAGTGTAACACCCCCTCTATAGATACAACGTGAAATATACTACAACTAGAAAAGCAGTCAGAGAGCACAGACCTCCGCCAAGGACTACCCCCATTTTTTATATAAATTGTGATAAAATCAGTCTTCTGGATCAGATCCGGATCAGCCTTTGGAATATGAAAGAGGATCCCATTGACCATCCCTGAGTCAAATTTCATGGGGTTTGGTCAATAATTAACCGAGATATTGAGAAATTTTTGTCCCCATTTACCACAATGTTAACTAAAATTTCAAAGTGATCCAGAATCCAGGATTTCTTCCGGATCACCCCCAAAATGAAATCAGTTCTTCCTTTTCACATTTCCAACAAATCCTGAAAATTTTATCAAAATCAGTCCATAACTTTTTGAGTTATGTTGCTAACAGACAAACAAACAAACGCCGTCAAAAACATAACCTCCTTGGCGGAGGTAAAAATTCAAATGTCCAAAACTAGTCCAAAATATCTAGAAATGCTTTCAAATATTAGACCTGACCAGAGTGACCAGATGCCCATATTTCCCCTGGACAATCCCAGTTTTGAGCCCTGTGTCCCCTGTACCAGCAGATTTATTCAAAACCAATGATTTGTCCCAGGTTTATACAAGACATGTCATGTCCCAGATGTCCTTATTTTGGACCAATTTGATCTAAACCAGGACTATATCAGTTTTGTTTGTTTTTTTCAGGTCTAAACCAGGGCTAAACTAGGACTAAACCAGGACTATTTCAGGTCTAAACCAGGACTAAATTCGGGCTAAAATTAGGACTATATCAGTTCTGAACCAGAGGAGCATACATTGCATTTGTTTAGCCAAAATACAGACTGCTTCTGTATTTTGTCTCTCAGATTACACACACTGATCCACACGTGAGTCGAGAATGGACAATGCAACACGCTTTTTTCACAGTTTTATTTATACCTATCACCTCAACCCGGGTGTGTCCCAGTTTTTAATTGTGAAAATCTGGTCAACCTGGACCTAACCCTCCTGCCTCCCCACATGTCCCTTGCAGCCCGAGTCTGAGCAGAGCCGTCTAATTAACGGCGTTTACTTTGACAAACATCTTTTTCTTTGGGCTCTTTGGCGTTTGAAACCCTCCTGTGTGCAGAGTGCAGCTGTTACCTGCGCTCCTGCTCCCACAGAATGGAGCGCAGTGTGCGCCGCTACGTGTGAGCGCTAATCAAAGCGAACAGGCGCGCTCATGTTTTCTGATGACGCATTCAAGGCCCCCGTGAGCTCGGTAAATGCAGCGCCGGCAGCCTTTTCATTACATGCGATTTTCCACATGGCTGTATGAAAACTGTGCACTCTCAGACAGGCTCAGAGGCAAACATTATTAGTGTTCCAAATGAAGTTAAAGGCAGAATTACCACCTCATGAAATAAAGTCAGTTTTTCATGATGCTAAAGGTTTGTTATTTTAAAGGCCCTGTGCCTAATTTTACTGTCTTAAAACATGAAAAATAGAACTAGTTCATTTTAAACGGTTTGCAGTGGTCCAAAGTTACTCCTTACCTACCTTATACACTCTGGGCGTCCAGTTATTCACCACACAGTTTATGAGTGCTTTTCACAACAGAGCAGAGTAAAGTTATGGTAATGGCTAACAACTAGAATGCTAATGTGCAAGTTCTGATTATTGTAGGGTGACCAGACATCCCTATTTCCCCAGGACAGCCCCAGTTTTGAGCCTTGTGTTCCCTGTCCCAAACCATTGTTTTGTCACAGTTTTAAGAAATCTTCCTGGTGTCCCTATTTTGACCAATCTGATACCTGCCAGCTGTAAAAAGAGGCATAAAGTGTCATTGTTTTGGTAAAATACAGAAAAGCTGCTTAAAAATCACCAAAACGCTAAGAAAATGTGACTATACTGACTCACATGTTAGTCATGTATAGTCTCTGCATAACAATTTAATTACGCACTCGTTTCACAATTTTGTTATTACTGAGCACCAAAAAGACAGGGAAATCCCAGTTTTTTATTTTGAAATTCTGGTCACCCTAGATTATTGGACAATAAAATGCTTAATAATTAGATGCAGACTGCACACAGTGGAGTTATTTTGACCTCAAGAACTTCTTATACAATATATTTGAACTGAGGCAAGACAAACTTAGCTCATATACATACAGGTGTGTTTTTTGAGGTGTGTTTTTTTAAGCCCATTCACCTTCACAGTCTCATTCTTTATGCTTGTGTCTCTGCTTCTGTCCCTTACTCCTGTCATCTTGCCTGATCAGCCAGTCTCTTATACAGAATCATGAAAACCCACCATTCTAACTTGAGATGGTCCAAGCACTGTTGCTGTTTTGTATTACGTGTCTCTCAAATGTGGAAGACATCTAAAAAATTCTCATAACCTTCATAAAAAAATCTACAATTTATTTTACCTGAGATTAATAAAGAGTTTAGTGCTTTGATGGTTGATTCTGCAAAAATTCTGTTTTTCTTTTTAACCATTTTGTTTTGACAAGGACAAAGCATGTGTTTCCCTGATTGGTTAATCCACCTGTCAATCACACCCTCAGGAATTGGAGAGACAGGATACAGCTCCAGATCCACTTGGGTTTGTACATTTTGTCAAAGCATGTGGTTCTGGTTGGACAGGTAAACATCTCCTGGTGCCAGCGTCAGCCAGGATCCTCCAGGAAACCTCTGCTCTGTGCGTCACTGCATTTGTCACTTTCATATTTTCATCCAGGAACTACAAACCCTGGGTTTGAACAGATGAGATCACCTACACAACACAGAAAAACTATGAAAGGTTTGCTCTAGATCCAAAAAGCAAATACGAAATAAGTTCTTTTAGGGGGAAGCCAGACGTCAATGTGTGGATACTGTAAAATACTGAACTGTTACACTGTAAATTGTTAACTTTATGAAACACATATATAATAATATAAAATCTTGCAATAAACACATTCTTTGATATGGCATTAAACTATCTTGATGAAGACAAGGCGATGTCACCAATCCAAGTTAAAGGTCAGATCTGTGGAGACGAGTCCACACACAGAATGCATGTTTGTCAAATTATATTTATAGCTATAAAAACTCCTGAATAACAACTGAATAATTTTAAGATTGAAAAGATTAATGCAACACTGAAATATTTTCAAGCAAAGCAACAACATCTGTATGAAAACAAGACAGTAAATAGTTTATAAAGTATTTTATTTATGTATTAATCATGCAGAATGCAGTACAGTTACAGTAGAAAACAGGTTTGTTCTTAAAGATCAGTTCAAACAGTATAAAGAGGTAGCAGTAACAGCTATAGGTCAAGTGCTGGTATTTGGGTCGATATACAGTGCTCTCCAGTTATATTGAAAGCCTTTAAGGGATTTATGGACTAAACCAGGACAAAATCAAAAAATAAACCCGGACTAAATCAGAGAAAAAAAATCTGAGAATAAACCAGGACTAAACCAAACACTAAACCATACTAAAATAAGAACTAAACCAGGACAAATCATGTTTTCTGTTGACAATTTGAGTAAAAATGTAAAACTTTCAATTTTGGTAGAGTACACTGTATTCTATGGACAGAACAGACAGTTGAGATTTCTCACTTCTATGGAATAAATAATGCTTTAGTGACTTATTACCACGAAAATAACATGAAAATGGACACAGAAATCTTCTCAGGAAGTTATCAGAAATATGTACAAGAAACATGCCACCATTTAAATAATCATATGGGATTATACAACTACATACAATGGTTAATGGCAGATAACATCATCTTCAAAAGATACAAAACAGGAGTCTTAACATAAACTTTTACAATAACTCTTAAGTTCATTAATAATTGGAAAATGCTACTTAAATCATTTGAAATTACAGTAACACAATGGAGTGAAAAAGTAAAATCTGAATGATCTGATTAATGTTTCAGTAACAATATAATAAAAATAATAGTACTTATCTGTAAAAAAAAAAATCACAGAAATAGTAGGTATTCGCAGATGTATTAGACCTCTAGAGGACATTAATAGTCCATGGAATCCAACAATTATCCCACAGTCACAAGATGGCGGTAGTAAATGCCCAGACAGCTGTTGCTACGTGACCTCTAGAGTTCTATTCAGTTGAATGGCCTTCATTGATGCATATTATAAAACTATGACTGAAATTATGAGTGAAGATAATCCCTGATTGTTCCCCTAATTTTACATGAATGTGTGTGATACTTGTGAGTTCACAAACTCCAGAATCCATCTTGAACGTCTCCTTCAGCAGACAGATTGGACCAATCACATCACAGCAGTTGTTTGGGCAGAGCTAAAGATGAAGCACCCACACGAACAAAACAGCGACGCAGATGAACGTACATGGGTTGCTGATGACTCTTTCAACGTAAGTGCCATCGGTTTGGTTTGTGCCAGATTTAATTTTGAGACAACCCAATTAATTGGGTAATAATAATTTTCATGGCAACCTTTGTGGCCTAATAAATCATTGCACCATTTTATATGATTACAATAATAATTTTGGTGACTGTGTCATTAGCAGTGCAGTAGAGTCCAATGGACTATGATATGTATACACTCCTAACAGAACCAAATACACAGTCTCAGAGAGGGGATGAACAGGTCTAAAACACATTGCTCACTGAGCCCCAGATGATGAGGCCAATCGCCACGGCAACCACCACCGCAATAGTGATCAGTATGCAGATCTTCTTCCGTGAGCTGCTCTGAAAGAGGAGAAGAAAAACAGACACAATAAAGACAAAAATCCAATACAATAATAAAGGACGTAAAGTAGAATTTTGCTTTTTGATGTTCTGCGTCCCCCCTCCCTTTACTCTCCGTATTAAGACTCCCCTTTCTGAGTGCTATCACAACACAATCAATGTGCTGTGCATTCCGTTATGAAACTACTGCACAACACATCAGGTTTGTCAAGTAGTTTGTTTGTATCATATTTTTGTATAATTATGAAGGTTCAAGGTAGATTGCTCAAATATGCATAGATGACATTGAAAACCTCTTCAGGCATGTTTTTGATGAGGAAAAATTAAAACATGGTAGAAAGCTCAAAAAAGTCCATTTGGCATAATACCCCCCTCTTTAATAACTTTTATGCCCTAGCACTCACCTCTTGTATAATACTGAGTTATGGACAGCGGTGGTTTAGCCTCAGTGACATCATCATTGTGAGTCAGAGTCCTGTTTTAAGCCCTGGTTCAGTCTGACCTCAGTACACTGGCACATATGAGGTTTGTATGCAATTTTGGCCAATGAAAAAAGGGCTCCATAGACTGGGGAAGGTGTGGAGAGGAAATATTCGCCTAATTTAGTCAACAAATAACTGTGTTGCCTGAATGAGCTACTGTAAGTTTATATTAAGTCATCCGCTCCAGTGTCATCACCCTCCGATGCTATGGCAACCCCTCATTAAACAAATAAAAACAGCACAGATGCCAGACATGAGTAACACTGCATCCAGAAATAAAATGCAGTTATTTTACACAACAGAGAGTCAGTTGGTACATCCAAAAGCTGGTGGCTCAAATCCTGATTTCCTACGCTAGTAAAGTTTATATATAGTCAAATCCACAAAGTGCATATGACAGGTTTTCATGTTTTTCTAATTTTGACATGGTTTGGTGGGATAGTACAACAATGATTACAAAAAGCAAAGGAGCAAAGGGAGAGGAGACTCAGAGCATCAAAAACAATATTAATACACTGTTTTCAGTGAAGACAGCATTTTCAAAACAATAAAATGTAACACGGTGATCTAAATATGCTATGTCTTAGCAGTTAATACCTCACAAAAGTTAAATACTCCTACCATACCTGGTAGTCTGCGGCCCGCGCCAGATTCTGCATGCCTCTGTGGATGTTCTGGTCAGTGCTCTCTACGTTGGCCTCTATACTGTCTGTTCAATATAAAACATACACACATATATGCAAGATCAGAGCATGTGGAACAGAGAAATGCAGCACAGGCCAAAGGTCAAAGGCTGTTTACTCAGAGGAAGCAGAGTCCACAGAAAACACATAGTACATAGTGCAGAGGTCAGAGGTCAGGGTCCTGGTTGTGGTCAACCAGGTTGTTTCTGAGGTAATACACTTTCATAGAAAACTTTCAGCTTGTATTTGTCCCTGAACTGAGGATGAAATACAGGAAGTGCTCCATTGTGTTTTTAACCCCCATGATTCACTAGAATCATAATTTCAGCCCTGGAAATGCCAGTCGTTACTGAACAAAACGGTAAAAACTGATCAATTGAAAACTACCACTACCTTATTTTTCAACTATAAGTCGCACTTTTTTCATGGGTTGGGTGGACTTATATATCAAAATTTTCACACTGACAGCTGCGAGAGGGCTCTAGGATTGTGTGACAGTATCTGCTACTCGTTTTACTCCTGTACCACTGTCACTTGGCTCTACTGCGTACCAACTGGTATCATGTCAGTCGGTCGCACCATTACTTCTGTATCACTGAAAATTTTAAATTTAAACAAACTTATAAAGATAACCGAAATCATCCTGTTGGGATTCAAGAAGGCTGGAATAATTCTAACTGAAACTGATGCCGAGTATGTCGACAGCTACACAGAAGAGGGAGTGATGCTCCGTTTACCTCCGAAGGTCACAGAGTTGTTCAGAACTGACACAGAGGATGAAGAATTCAATGGACTTAGTGAGTTGAATTGAGATGGAGAGTTTGGTAAACTTGTTCTGTTCTGTTGTTTATGTTATAATTATCTGAAGAACTGTTCATATGTGACGTTAACAGCCTGTTGTTCTCTGTTCTATTGTTATTACTATAACTTGCCTTTCAAGATGAAATGTTGGTTCCTGGTCTCTGATTTTATAAAATAAATTTACCCCAAAAGGTGCAACTTATGTATGTTTTTTTTTTTTCTTCCTCATTATGCATTTTTTGGCTGGTGCAATTTATACTCCAGAGCGACTTATAGTCTGAAAAATATGACATAACAAGGAGGAACAGCGCATTTTGAGCTTGGGAGATACAGGCACACTAATAATAAAGGATTACTCAAACAAGTGTGAATGAAAACAAAACACTATTTAAGGTATATTTATGATGAGGTAACAACATTATAAAGTGTCTAAAAGTTCACAAGTCAGTTTTGCGTAATGTAGGACCTTGAAGTTCTTTTCAGGACAAATCGCCTTTGCAACAACAAATACTAAAGATATCAACACGGCCCATTTCATCAGAGCAAAGGTTATGTGACTCACCGATCAGCTCTCCCTGCTCATGCACCATCATACCCAGGTCTTTAAAGATGTCATTAATGTCCACAATGTCCGACTGTACAAACACACAGATATATAATGAGTTAAACTATTAGTCATAAATATTACTCCAGTAAGTCTAAGTCGTACCTCCAGCTGTCTGATGGCTTGCTCTCGCTCCTGTATCAGTCTCAAGTCCTCTTCAGTCATGGCCTCCATCTCCGCTTGCAGCTGCAACTCACTACATACAATTCAATTCATCATTTTCAATCATTTATTTAATATTTAATTAATACTGATACTTTGCAGTGATGTCACGCTGGGGGTGTTGTACATGTATGTTTCTGGTAGAATCATTTAATCAAAATGGATTTAAACAACATATTTCAGCCCAGGGATGGCATCAGCTGCAAAGTATCAAGTTTGTTTTAGAGGAAATGACGCATACCTAGAAAATGCAGGTACATTTCTGAAACCATCATCGGCTTGACCTCCCTGAAAAAAAAACAAAAAAAACTTTATTTAAATTTTTATCACAACACAACAAAAACACAAAAATCTTGCTATCTTAAAAAAGAAAGTCCTGAAATATATAGGACCTTTAAGGAGTTGATTGACTACATCTAGTGGTCAAAGTTAGTATTGCAGTTCCACTTCTGTTTAATTGCACATGAGAATTGTGTAATTTTGGAGGGAAGTGATCTGATGAGTGATAATAGAGCTACTGTGACACATGATTTCAGGAAGGGGACCATAATGTGGTGAAAGTACTGAACATTTGAAAATATATATTTTAAGTGTGAATTATTATTATTACCTTGTAGCTAATCATTCATTAAAGTGTATATGAGAGGAAATAGCGCTAAGTTCTAAAGTACAAATCTATCTATGTCATCAATACTGAAATTCCATCCAAAATCCATGTACAATTTATGCACAAGGAAGGCATTTTTATGACAGTTTAAACCTTCATTTAATAAAAAATAGCTTTTGTCATTTATTTTCATTAATCTAATCATAAGTCTTGTTCAATTTTTGGTTAGCATTATGGTTGCTAGGTAACAGCAATGGAATTACCACTACATACTGTATGTCATAATATCTGCTATCCATGTCCAACCAGGAAATAATAGTATGAACTTCACTGAAATCATAGTAAAAACTAGAATCAAAAACAAGCCAAGATTTTTAGTAAAATCTTAAATATAATTATGCTAAAGATGCACTGCGCAACGTTTCTGGAGAAGGGTCCGTAAAATACTTTTCTCCATGGAAATATTATTGCTTTGTCTAGAATGTTCCATGGTATTTATCTCAAGGGAAACGACTACAGATTACATTACAGGTCAGATCTGTGGAGACGTAACCCTACTGACAGAAAGAATTATTGTATTTTTGAGCAATAGAAACACTCGTAATGGAATATTCCAGGCAAAGCAATGACATCTCCATGGATACAAGCAAGTCTTCAGAAAAGTTACACAATGCACCTAAACTGGGTTTTCGTGGAATGAGCAGCCTATCCCGTCATATTAACCTTGAATCACTTTTGTAACCTTAACTGTTTGTTAGCAAATGGACACACAGTAGATTCTGACCTCATGATTTCTCCCAAAGTTAAAATGCCTGGATAAATATTTGCGTATTTGCGTACACTATCAGTCAAAAGTTTTGACACACATTTCTTCTTTATTTCTATGATTATTTAGAATGTAGATTTTCACTGAAGGTATCAAAACTATGAATGGGCACATATGGAATGCAGCAAACAAAAAATGTATGCAAAATAACTTAAAACTTGTTTCAGATTTTAGATTTTGAAAAACAGCCACCCTTGGCTTTGATCACTGCTATTGACAATTCTCAGTGAGAGGAGACCAAGAGTTTGCAGCACTGACAACAAAGCGGAGGGTGAATACTTTTAGAATTTGAATATAAAATATGTTTAGTTGAGTTATTTCAGTTTTTTTCTTTGCTACATAATTCCATTTATCTTGCATCATATATTTAATGTCTTTCATGCGTATCTAAAAAGGAGAAACTAGTAAACAAAGAGAAACAACAATGAATGTGAGAGTATGTCCAAACTTTTGACTGGTAGTGTTTTTCTGTTTATTTCAGTTTGTCCCTCCTTACCCCAGACTGAGGCACAGACAGCCGGGATGAGGCTCTGACCCTGGCCACATACTCCCTCTCCTTGTTGGCTGCTTGGCGTTGGATTTTCTGGAAACTGTTGAGAGCTGCTGAGAACTCGTTCAAAAGCCGCTCTTTTTGGAGTTTTCTCTGTCTCTACAAAAACACAAGATTTACATAAAATAAATGAGAGGAACACAGAGGGGGCTTACCTGACCAGCCAGAACCACATGGGGGTTAGCAGCTTTTACACAGAAGAAGACAGGGATTTTTGTTTATTATATTACTTATAATTGCAGCCTCTTTGATTTGATAATTGTGTTTGATTTGCAATTCAATGTGTAACCCTCATTAGAGCATGTGCAAGTGTAAACACAGTCTTCACTTGGCACAAATATATTGAAGAAATATTAAATAAAACTACCTGGTCAGGACCCACAGGCAGAGCAGCAAAAGCCTTGATCTGTTTGTCTGTGTCTTTGGCCAGCTGGTTCCCCTGCTGCTGTTTCTGCTGCCTTTAAAATGTACAGAGTACATCTATTACATAGTTATTACACATTCAAAAAACATCTATACACTGGTCATGTGTTTATAATCTTAGAGTGAGTCATACATTTAAATATCTTGAATTCAGAATATAAATTTTAGGACATTTTTTACGAGATATACTACAGTATTTACTTGATGGTCATAGATTATTTATTTATTATTTCTGACTTGGTTCAATACATACAATATCAATACAAGATTAAAATTCTGAATTAAAGACAAGGGACAATATTACACTGTTTTCTGATCTATGTGTTTAGGTCTAGGTGTTTCCTCATCACAAACATACCTGGTGTTGTGTTTTGTTTCATTTCCACATGTTTAATACACAAACACTGCATATTTAGGTCACTTTGTGATGTCATGAGGTAATTCAGATTCAAGATTCAAGGATTTATTGCCATAGTCGCAACTGCCTATCTCTATTGACCTATGGGTATAAGGTAGCTGTAAACTTAAAACCCACAAGCTAAACTGCATTTTGAGTTTTGGAGATGTAGACAGACTAATAAAAAAGGATTATTCAAACATGTGTGAATGAAACAAAACAATTTTGAGGAGGTAACAATATTATAACATGGCTTAAAGCTCACAAAAGGCAATTTTGCATAATATGGGACCTTTATCCACATATTCTACATGAGACTATATATAATTTTGTATGTGTTTATGACATATAAAAACATCTGCTTATCATGTGTTAATAATCTTACAGTGAGTTTCTGAGCTGGCTGTCATCCTGGTCTGTTCCAACAAGAGACACTGCCCTCTGAAGCTCATTGGCTGAAAAGACAAAATTATCATTATCAGCATTATTCTATGAGATGCTATTATGTGTGTATATATATATATATATATATATGTATCTTAAAACTTTTGGATTATTTACTGGTGTGTGTATATAGTGTCACCATGGTAACTGAAAACATTGCACTGCAGAGATATATGAAGAACACCCCCAGACTGATGTCACTGCAAACTATCAATGGAGAGGGGTCTTACTGAGCAGGGTGAGTCTCTGAATGTTGGAGGTGATGCTGTTGACCAAAGAGCTGGGATCAGGAAACCCAGCCTGGTACGCCATGACAACAGCTGCAACAGAAGTACAACTAAATTTTAAAAAAAAATTAAAATTAAAAACACTTTTTGTTCAAAAATATACTAAAATACAAGATTTTTTTTGCGTCCATGCTTCCTTACTCAAACCCCACCTGAGCAACTGTGGGATTACACAGACATATTTCTTTGCAAATAACTTCTGTCCAACACTGGAGATTTAGGCCAATAGCTGATAAGTTAAAAAGTGCACATTTGGGCCCCACATATTGACCAATGGGTATATCTGTTTTTCTCTAATAAAGAAAGAGAGCTACTTTATTGATCCAGAGGGAAATAGTAAACGTGCACTACCATTTATGGTGGGAGTTGCCCACAACACCTGCTTGTCTCCATGGAGATGTGCCTGGAATTTTCCACAAGAAAAACGTAAAAGTTAATAATAGAGATAGAGCAGGCCAATATTTGCATTTTATAGCATATCGGCTATCAGCCTTAAATCTCCAGCACAGGTCGAAGCGTTATTTTAACACTTTAGTGTGAGGACGTAAGTGCACAAAATGTGACTACACAACTCTATTTTAGGTCTGTGGTAAAAAAAAAGAAGCCGTGAGTTTGTACAGCCCAAAAATATTGGCAGAGCTTGCCGGTCATTGTTTTCTAAGGATTCTAAACTAAAGTTATAAAAAATCTGCCATAAAAACACACACATTGGTCGATCTCTTTTTAAAATACGTAAAAACATGCATTCTTATAAGCAAAGTTGACTCTACACAGATCTGTCCTGTGACCTGCCATGGTGCAGTTACCTGCTTGTCTCTGTGGTTTAATAACAAGTTTAATGCAATACTACATTATAGATAAACCAATAACATGTCAGCAAGGAGACAGGTAGGTGGTAGAAATCTGAACCACAGTCGGTCTTGACACAAATATTGAAATAGGATTCTTATCAGCCACATGCTTGTATTTGGCACTTTGAGGCCGGGTGTGATCTGCCAGCACAGCCCAATGGAACCCAGTCAAGCACACTTCCTGCCCTCCTAAGACTCTAGACAGACTGGCTAAATGCTCATAAATGACACACATTTAAAGGACCCATATTACACTATTTTGTACTATGTTATAATATTGTTTCCTCATCACAGACATACCTGGAGTTGTGTTTTATTTCATTCACGCATGTTTAACAAACAAACCCTGCATATCTAGGCTGAGTTCTTCTCTCAAACCGAAAACACTGTCTTTCACCTTGTCATGTCACGTGGTAATGCAGGAGCTCCATTGTGTTATTAAACTGCATACGCCTTCACCAGAATCATTTAGATAATTTCAGTTCTAAAATATCCAATCTCTACTGAAGAACTGGTAGAAGGTAGCTGTTAACTTGAAAACTACCATTTCATGACATCACAAGGTGTAGCACAGCATTTTGATCTTGTTAGAGAGTGAATGGGAGAATGAAACAAACCTCAAAATCAAGTATGTTTTCGAGGAGTAAACGACATCATAACATGGCTGAAAATTTACAAGAATACATGTTGTGAAATTAAACTTTTCAACTTTTTACCTGCGTCTGCGCCTTTAAATGCAACTGGCAAGAAAAAAAAATGCGGAAATCACGGCAGTTTCAGTAACAACTTGTACCAAAAGTCAAACGAACAATGACAGTAGTTTATATGGTATCGCCCTAGCGTATTTTGCCTATTAATTGTGTAAGAATTTGCCAGATCTTGACTAAAATCACATTCACGTTACGTATTCAAACATTTCACGTCTTCTCTATCGCGCGTAACAACGTCAGATCAACTAAATGCGTGATTGAAGTTGGTCTAAGTTGGTCCTATCGCGGGGCCGCTGTAGATATTGAAAAAAACTTAAATATCTGAGTATTAAATAGTTGAATAAAAGTTTACCTTGTAGCAGCGGCAGCGGTGGACTGTAGCTTCCTGATTGTGCGCCACGCCCCCGTCACGTGATCAAACCCGAGGACAGCTGTCACAAACAAACATGATGGACTTTTGTGGTTGGAATAAATGTGGTAGGCTAATATTGTGTTATATTTAAGTTGTTTGTAATTATTTAAGTGTATATTTTTTGTAATTATGCTGATTTGATTGGAAAGCATTTTGGTCACGCTGGCCTGAGCAATGGGCTCTATTCATTCGGATTGATTAAAGGCCCTGGACATTCATAAGGCCTATTTGCAATAAATTGTGATTTACTGTAGAAAATCTCAGGCACCACAAACATCCTCAAGGTGACAGACCATTAGAAAAGTTATATAGCGCACCTTTAACATGTACTGAAGTAAAACATTCTGATCAATGCTTCAGTGACCCGGGACTTGGACCCTATGAACCTGTTTCATAATTCCACGTGGAAGAGCTCAGTCTCATATCGGACTATTGGCTTATGTCTGTCTGCACATTCTCATCAATACCTCAAGTGTCCTCACAAAGCTGTATTTGATAATATTCTACTTATTTTGTACAACAAAAGTAAGCTCGTTATGGGTTCATTAGAGTAATTGCTAAGGATGGCTTATCTCTCTGTATTGATTTGTGGTTATGAGTTTTGTGTATCTAAGAAAAGTACACAACGTTATCTGGAGCTAAAGATCACTTGGGCTGTTGTGGATGGGTCAGTGTGTGGGAGGAGAGTGGTACTTAAGTCCAGTTGTGGTGCCTGTCCTCTGGGTCTTGTGTACCTGGGTCCTCTCTCAGAACCATGCGGTCTCTGGTCATCTGCCTGGTCCTTGCTGCCTCCTGCTGCCTCTCCAGGGCTGGGGTGATCCTGGACAATGGCGCTCCGGTGATGTGGGCACATGCCACAGGACAGCTCACGGATTTACCCATCACGGATGGAGTGTTGACCCCTGACCCCTGGCACTATCTGCATCGAATGAGCTTCTACCGTCTCCTCATTGCCGCCACTGACCCCTACATGAGCTCCATGGGTCCTGGGGAAAACCAGAGCCCAATCTGGGGTCTGCCCCTTCAACTAGGGTGGATGCTCACCTCAGGTACTTGCTCTGATTATGCACATGTAAAGGTGTATTTTGCAACTTTTCTTGTGGAGAAAAAAAAAAAAACTTACTTGTTAGCTAGTGTGTTCCACAGTATGGCATTAAATTCAGTCTTGCATTTGTTCATTTACTTAAAATATATATATATATATATACATATACATTGGGGCATTGGAGCAGTGATGCCTATAACTTGGCCTCTGTCCATAAAATAGGATCAATTTAATACCATTACAGACAAAAAAACAAACAAAAAACCTTTAGAGTGTAGCAGGGAGCCAACCTTCCACCTGAAAAGTTACATAGTGCACTTTTGGACTGAGTATTTGGATTACTTTCTATCTGCAGTATCAGGTTTTAAAATGCACTCTTGTTTGTCTCCCCTGCAGGTCGTCTGGCTGACCCCACCGGTCTCACCGTGTGTGGAAGTCAGGGTGGAGACACAGCTGATATGTGCATCTCCCCCAACAGCTGGTGGGGCTGTGAGTACTAAACTGAAACACACTAAATATAACTTAACCAAACCAAATGTATTGATGTGATACTTCATCAGGTGTTTTTGATGGTCATAGTTCTCTTATGCTGTAAACACACACCAAAATCAAATCTAATTATTGGGTTACAACAGTGACTAGCAGACATATTCCTGCATATTTAGTGTATGTTAGAATACAGTGTAGTAATAATAATAATGTGACACACTTGTAATGAGCTTTACAAGCTTGTTGAATCTGTACCATCAGCCTCTCCAATCACCACCAATCATTCACTTACACAGATAATAAGATAATCAATACTCCGACCTTCGGGTTGGGGGACCACTGCTCTATCACGACTCACTGTTGCCCATCCTGTACAAACATTATAATGCTTGCATCATTTGAGATATTCAGTCATAATCATAATCACAATCAATTGTAAATTAATGTAGCTTGTTTAATTTGCCTGTAAACATATATTTGACTTATAACTTTCTCTTTCAGGTGTGAACTACTTCAACTCCGTTCTGCCTTTCCTGTCTGCTGTGAAGCAAGGGTTCATGGGAGAGGGAGTTGTACGTATGCAAGAATATTCTTCATTGAGTAGTTTTCTCTTGAGTTCTTAGAGCGGTAGATTTTTTTGACTCACTATTGGTTTCAAAACAGACATAATTTATTTTATTTTATTTGTTTGTTTATTTATTTTTTGCAAATTAGGAATAAATAATGTAATAGAACTTTCCATATGGTCAAATATTTAGGCCAGAAAGCACTTTTTTAACAGACTGGCTTGTTCACATTGTGCAGATGGTTCAGATGCAGAGTCCCGCTGGAGTGGAGGGATTCTGCACAAACTATGACTCCTGTAAAGCGGCTTATCCCGATGCAATGAACAACTGGGACTCATTTTTCCAGGTGAGGATGTCAATATTTTTTTAAGGATTAAATTAATGCAGTTTAGTGGTTTAATTCTTATAGATGTTCACCCACATCATAAAAAGCTGTGGCTTTGATTTCTGCTGTGACAATGCGGACTGTCATTGTGTCCTTTTGCAAAACACTTCAGCCACATTGCCTGTATAAAGATTCTGATCTGAGTATGATCAGCATGAATGAAAGAATGACAAGTGCACTTTCATGTTAAAGCTGCACTATGTAACTTGATGGTGAAGGGTTTGCCACCTGTTTGTCTCCATGGAGACAAACATGCTTTGCCAAGAATGTAGGCCGTGGTCCAGCCCAGATTTACTGAGGGTGCAACCAACTTTCAGGGGTGTATTTACAAAATTCTTCCATTAAATGTCATGTTATGCACTTCTTCCTACTCTTTTTTGAGCATAATTACTGCAATATGTTTAATCACATTCATGTTGATGTCATAATATTTCATGTTGCTCAAAGAAATGAACTGAAGTGAACACCTGAAATGAGGGTGTGATGCACCCTTTTGTAACCCTGTGGACCCAGGCATGAAAGAAAGTTCATCAGTCTGGCATTATAGTTATCTACCTCCATTTAGACAAGCTGGTGACATCACCAAGACAACTTACAGGTCAGATCTGTGAAGTAGCATCTTCATGGTGTCAAACAGGTGACACATCTGTCATCATAAAAGTTATGGAATGCATCTTGTTTAATATTTACCCTGTGATCTATTAGACACAGTGAATGAACGTGTTGTCTTTTCTGTGTCCCAGGGCCTGAAAGACGCGACCACATCTCCTCTGCCCGACAACGAGAAGAAGGATGCCATCTTGGGACTGTACTGGAAAGCTCAGACCTCCTCCACCGCTGCCGCTTCTGCCTGCCATGAAAAGTACGACTGCGCTTTCATGACTAATTCAATTAAATACTGTTTAATTCTACTTGACGTTATTCTCTTTCCATCCTCCTCTTGCAGGTTAAACTCTTACTCTGGTGTAGAGAAAGCTTTTGCTAACAGTTGGTTAAATGCCGGAGAATATGTGGCTGCTGCTCATTTTCAGTCCAATTTGGAGCTGGCGTCACAGTTCATGTCTCCTCTGCCCGGACGCATTCTCAGGGTGAGGACACGAATACACTCTAAAAATTTAAGACCTGGATAACATGATTTCAATTCAGAATATTAACCTTGATTTAACTTGTTTTATTTAAAGAGGAGGTATTCTGCAAAATCTATTTTTTAAGATGTTATGCTATGTTATTATTTACCCCATCCAAAACATGAGGTTGTATTTTTCTCCTTTTTGTGCTTCTTTCATAAATCCTCTGTAACCTCATTAAACATGAGGTTAAAAAAAATTCCCTGGATTGTTGCATCACAGGTAAAAAAATAATAATAATCTTGTTAGATACATGGTCATCATTTTAAGTTCTAAAACATGAAATGCCACAGCAAAAGTACTCAAGAGCTACACTGATATGTGCAACACTCTGACCTGAGCTGTGCACATCATAAATTTGGGATAACTCTCGGAAGGTTCAAACGAATCCTCACGTCTGATTGGACGAAGTGTAACAACAGCAGCACAAGCTGAGAAATGAAACAGACATCTTTTCCTCCCCAAATGCACAAAGCTCTTCCTACTATATGTTTTTTTCTTTGGTATTTCTGACTGAAATTCATCTGTCTTTGTTGCCATGTTTGTTTTCGTTTGTTTGGTGCCTCACCATAAAGCAGCTTTTGTTTTGTGTTTTGTTCAGGAAGACGACGTCCCTCCAAACATTCCTGACCTGACCACAGAGGAAAACCACTCCCTCTACATCTTCTCCTGGATGAAGAGCATCGACAACTTTCTGGGTCAGTCCAAGTCCATTTTATTTATAATTTATTCAAAAAGAAATTTAAGACAATAAGAATATAATAAAAAAAAAAGTCAATTTAAACTGTAAAGTAAATAGAACAAAACCATAAAATGACAAGCGATTCAAAAGATATAAAAGGTGACTCACATAATATTACATTTAATCAGTCATCTATATATATTCTAAAAAATAAACAATTTTTACTCAAAAGTCCAGGCTAAAAGACCCATATTATGCTTCTTTTTTTTTTTTTTTTTTTTTTTTTTTAACAACAATGTTGTTTCCTCATCAAAAACATACCTGGAGTTGGTTTTAATTCATTCACACGTTTTACACACAAATCCTGCTTATTTATTTAGTCTTTAGTTCTTCTCTGAAATGGAAAACGCTCTGATCCACCTTGTGATGTCACGTGGTAATACTGGAAGTGCTCCACTGTGTTTTTAACCTCCATACACTTTCACTAGAATTATTTGGATGATTTTGAGACATGGAATTACCAATTTCTACTGAACAAATTAAAATGTAGCTGTTAACTTGAAAGCTATCACTACATATCACAAGGAACAGAGCATTTTGAGCTTTGGCGATGTAGACAGACTCATGTCCTGTACCTTTGTGTTGTGTCCTGCAGGGGGCACTCTTGCGAACATGTGGCGCAAGGCCATGTGTTCTGTGACAACTCGAGAAAGCGGACGAGAGATGCTCAGACAGCTCCTGTTCAACCCTGAGTACGCCACCTCCAGCTTTCTGTCCATTGTCACCTCCATGTCAACCAGCTGTGGCTGAACCAGAACTGACCCAGGACTAAGACCAGGACTAAACCAAGACTAAGAACAGAGCTAAACCAGCTTCCTCTCCATCATCCACCAGCTTTGGGTCTTAGGCCTGGACCAGAACTAAATCAGGACTGGACCAGGACTAGACATATTTTTTGTTACAATTTGGTATATACATACATATATATATCCCCCTGGGACTGGATCAGGACTAGACCAGACCAGAGTTAGAACTAAAGTAGCTTATGCCTACTTTGTTTACTGTAAATCAAGACTAAACTCTAACTAAACCAGGCCAAAATCAGCACAATTCACTTTCAACAATATTTTTCTGTATAGACCTCAAACTAGACTTGGAAATATTTAGATTTGTTTCTGCGATATTAGTTTTTGAAATACGCAACGCTTGTTTCAAATATATATTTATATATATATATATACTGCCTTCTAGTGGTCATCTGTTGAACGGTATCTTCAATAAACTTTTTTTTTACTTCTCAGAGTAATTTCATTCTAGAATAAATCTCATCAGAGTTGGGAAATTCAACTGTTGTGATATCAATTCAGATTTAAAGATTTACTATGTAACTTTTGTGGTGATGAACGGGTATGCCTCCTGCATTGATTCAATTCCATGTGTTTTTTTATTACTCAAACAACTTGAAAAACATGTATTCCTACTGTGAGTCAGTTTGCCTCTCCACAGAGCTGACTTGTAAGTTGACCTAGATGCGTCATCTGCTTGTCTCAGATAACAGACAACATACACAGACAAAAAACAGAAAAGTTACGCAATGCACCTTTAAAATATTTTACAGTTACAGTAAAAAAAATAGCATTGATGGGAAATAAAAAACGTTGTTTATTTTAACACAAAACTTAACAACACAAGAACCAAAGACGACATCCACATTGATCTAACTGTGACGAGGATTTGAACATGTGTAAAAGGGAAGACAGACACCATCCTCTGCTTCAGTAACACTGGAATCTACTCTAAAACCAATGATTGTCTGTGGAAAAAATATCAAACGCACAAAACAAGATGGAATCCTCCCGTTTCCATGACAACAAAACATTACACTCATAAAATACTGGAACTTTTTTTTCTTTTACCAAATGCTAAACACTGGTTGCATACACTGTAAAAAGGGATTATGAAACAGTTGAGGTGACTTGCTCTAATCTACGTTAGTTTTAATAATCTTGTTTAAATGAAATGTATTTATTAATAGGTAGTAATTTTAATTGTGATAATGATATTTCAAACTCAAAAATGGGCACCATGTAACTGTTTAAGCGGTCTGAATCCTTCTTTATCCCATGGAGATGTACTAGTCCAATACATCTCCATATAATCCTAAATGTGTACAATAGGATGACATTTTCAACACAAAATAATGTCTGAAAACCTATGTAAACCTAAAAATATGTAGCTACAAGGCAACTAGTTTTAAAATCAATAGTTATAGCAAGTCATTTTTTTAATACTTGAGTAACGTTTTCATTAAATTGCAATTTGGAACATTCTCCACAGACATACATATGTTTTATGCCATACCGTGGAACAGTATAGCCAAAAGAACAACATTTCCATGGAGACAATTTTTGTGGAGATACAAGCCCAATCATAGTAAGGTGACAAGTTTTTCAGAGCACTAAACATAACCAAAAGACATGCTGTTATTTTTTTGGGGCTAAAATGTTACATATTGTAGCTTTTCAGAGTTTTTTATTTGTTTAGCAATTTTCATACCCTTAAGCATAATAATAATTAAATACATCTAAAATTGTCTGTTCATTTGGAATTTCAAGTAATTTTAACTAAACCAATTGAAGCTATTCCTTTTTTACAGTGTACTTAAACTGAACCCCATATTTTACATTAAACTTTACACAGTTACACATTTTAAAAAGATACAAAATTCGTGATGCAAAAATGACCATGCAGGGAAGTAACTTAAGCATCTTGTGTTTTAGCAAAAGATGATAACAGTCCCAAAGTTTGACAACACACATGAATGATGGTGTCGCTACGGTAACGGTGAGATTTTCCAGATCTGAAAGAAGGAATGTCCAAACACAGCGGAGCGGTTTAAACAACGATGAATCAGGAACAGTCTCCAAAACACGAACAAAAATGCTTAAAGGTCCTGTACTATGCTTTATCCAAGATTTTTGAACTATTTTTGTAACTTCAGTCATATTGGTTATTTACCCCTAATATTGATACTTTCCAGTGACACTGCGGCGTCTACATGCAGAATGTTCAGCTGTTACACTGATGACACAATGGACACATTAGAAAAAGTTTTTAGATAGTCTGTAAACTGAAGAAATATACAAAATAGATTTAAAAAACACATTTTCAAGAGCCTGCCATGGCCGTCTTTGATCCTGTTTCAACAAAAAAGATGAGTGACTAACTGAAAAACTGCTGGCTACTGTTGGATAGCTTGTAACTGTAATGCTATGTGAGAAAAAAATAACAGTACAAATCAGTTGCAGTTTCTATTAAATCAGTTCTTTTTGGTCAGATTGTGTTAAAACAAAGCTCAAATTAAAGTCTGTCTTGAGTAACAGACAGAGCAGAGCCTTCAGTTAGCATCACACCCCCAGGGAATCTTGATGACATGAGCTGCAAAGTATCAATACTGCCTCAGTCCCTGAAGTGAAACTACTGTAGGCCAAGACTGAACCAGGACTAAATCCAATTTTATTCAGTGAAGATGTATGGACTTTCAAAACACAGAAGCACAAGACCTTTAAGTAAGTGGAAAAACAAGGTATTTTTGTGTTCAGATCTCGCTTTGGCTTGTGGCCGTCTGCTGAGAGGCGAGGTAGAAAGAAAAAAAAAAAACTTGTGAAAAAAACAAAACAATTTTTAGCCTGACCAGTCAAACATGAGTCAAACTCAATATTTATCTATAATTTAGTCTCTTTGTTTCAACTCAATAAAAAAAAAAAATAGTGTATGATTGACAGGTGGAGTGACCAATCAGAGAAAAGAAAGGGTGTAACATATGTCCTGATAAAAATGGATAAGGATTGGAATAAACAATAAAATTTGATTTTAAAGATACACTATGTAACTTCTTTGTTGGGGGTCTGTCACCCTCTTGTTTCTATGGAAATATCAATGCTCTACTTCAAATGTTCCACAGTATGGTATTAAACAGATTACCGGCATTTTTCCAATTACAGGTGGCTCTATAGCTCAAAAATACCTTGAAACACAGACATTCTGACTATGCCTCTCCACAGATCTGGCCAGTAACTTGACCTGGCTTGGTTTCCATAATGATAAGAAAGTTTATTGCCACGTTGTGAAACATTCCAGACAAAGCAATAAAATCTCCATGAAGAAAAGCATTTGACAGATCCAGAAAAGTTACACAATGCACCTTTAAGTTGGATGTCAATGTAATGGCTTCCATGTAAAGTAGGTAATTATCAATATATTGTTCATGATAATACAATTTGGACATTTGAGAGAAACACATTTTAAAAGATTGATAACGATCATTATTGTTGCTAGAAAGTGAATGGGGTTGGCTGGACAGGCTAGCAGATGTAGCATGTGTGTGTTTGTGTGTTTGTGTTTGGCCTTAGAGAGGTAGAAGATCGACCCTGAGCCTGTTAAAACATTGTGTATAGAGTGATCTACAGGAGTTCAAATGGCTTGAATTCAGAATATTCGTCACAGTTTTGAACAGATTTCCTTTTGTTTACTGACATTTTTTAAATTTTGCAACATTTACGGCAATGAACTCAAAATCTCAATTCAAAAGGCCACACGTGTCCCTGTGTGTCAGATGCCCTCCCTGTGTCTCCATGATGTCTTATTCTGTGTAAAAGCTGCTAACCCTGTAGTTTAGACTCTACAAACATTTGGGTTAGTTAGTGTTTTTGGTATTTAAATTTGAGTTTTAGTATGTATATATTGAATTGTCAATGTGAGATCAATAATCGAAACTAAAGCCATTTTAACTGATGTAGATATTAGCTTTGTTGCACTGCACATGTGGGGTGGGTGAATGTTGTTGTTGATAATGCCATGTTGAACTGTTACAAACACGTTACAGTAGAAATGTACAAATGTTTTCAAATCTTTTCAAATGTTTTCAGATGTTACAGAGATGTTATGCTTCTCCAAACGCGGAGGCCTTGTCTTTTAATAGGTCCAGACACAAGTGACAGCTCCAGCTCCCTGAAAAACAAAGAAAAATCCATCACATTCTAAAGAAGACATACAGTATTGTGCTTGTGTCTGCTATACAACTATAATCTATGCCACCCTTGGATCATTATGTTATACATAATGATCCATTTAATGAACATTTCAAATCGTGATATTCACAACTTAAAGAAAGAAACAATTCCGATAACTTTCAGGTTTGAAAATTACGGTGCTCAGTGGGAGCTGATGTTGCCGTAAACTTCATCACAATTGTACCAAAATGATAACGCAACAGTGCTGAGAACTACATGGATCACAAATTAAGAAAATTCAGTTGTAGAATGAAAAAAGTACAGAGCAGTGGGCGTGTAATGGTGGTAGTAAAAATGGAGGTAGATTGGCAACATCACTCAATGACAAACAATCACAAAGTGGAAAGGAGGAGTGTTTAAAGCTGTGGCATGGGTGATTGTCAAAATAAAGTTGAAAATGCATTTGTACCTTCAGGGGGTTGTGTCATTGGTGGCTTGAGGCAGTACATGTGGTATCCTCTGTCACAGTCGTCACAGAACAGCAACTGGTCCTAATGGGAAAAAAAACAAACACTTCTAAATAAACAGCAAAAAATTTAAGATAAGTTGTGGTGATGTAAATAAAACTATATTTGAGTTTATTTCAGTTGACAAACTCAAAGATTCACTGTGTAACTTTTTTGGTAAAGAGTCGGCCATCTGCTTGTCTCCATGGAGATGTTGCTTTGTCTGGAATGCCCCGGTATGGTATTAAACATATCCATCTTGCAATAATGTGTGTTTATTGACTTAAAAACTTGCGTGACAGAGCCTCTACCAGAAAGGTTACACAGTGCCCTTTTAATTAAGATAATAAGTGAAGTAGCTGAATTAGGTACTGTTTATCTTGATTTGATTTTAACCACCAGTGTTAGAAGAAAAAATTGCTGCACTTAATTAAACACTTTTCTTATTTTAATTGGCAAAAAGTCTAGTGCACACTAATTGAACAATCAAAATCACTGACCACTTCCATATTTACTTAAATCCTAATAGCATTAAGCATTATATGCAATTGGCCCATCCCATGTAACCAATAAATAACTGTTATAATATTTCCAACAGAATCCCTTGGACCTTTTTGGACCACATTTATACTCAATTACAATTAAGTCTTTAAACACAGTCACCTTCACTGTTAGCTTTTGAGCCTTGTCCTTGAGGAGCACCTATTCTGGACTTTTTACAAACAATAACATCCCCTAAAGCTCTCACAGCTTCTGTGTTTGCAAGATTGTGACTGTGTTTTTTTTCAAATTCAAAGACAGAGAAGACATATATAAGAAAAGATAGATAGAAACAGATAGATGGACACTGACGTCATTCTCGGAAGTGCCGCACAGGGAGCAGGACTTGCACTCGATGCATTGCCACTGGTACGTTCTCACAGCCTGCATCATGTTCTCTGTGAACTGCAGACATGAGGGGTGGCCTGTAGGGGGCAGTCACACAGAACACAGCAGCACAAGGGTTAGTGGAGCATAATTACACAACAGTCACATAGATTCCAATGGGCCTCTCTTATTTTTAGGTTGGGCTAAAAACTGGAATGCAGCCTGGTGTCTTGACTGTTTTTCCGAGTCCAATAAAATTACAGAATACAATATAAAATGTATATATAGAGTCTATGGTTAGGGTTCTGGTCATGTGATAGGGTTAGGTGATAGGTTTAGGGGTCAGGAGTTAGGGTTCTGTGTCTGTGATACTGACCGGAGCGTCCACAGTCGGAGCAGGACACCAGCTCCTCGGCCTGTCCGGTTTTCCTGTTGGAGTCCTGGTCACCCAAACAGAAGTCGCAGTAGTCGTTTGGGATGATGGAGCCATCTGGACCTTTCTGAGCTGTGGGGAAAACATATGGTCAATACTGTAAACTAACATTTCCTTTTGAATAAACACTAGATGCAGTGACAGCTTGAAAGTGCAAGAAGAAAAAAGGACTTGGACCAGCAACCTTATGATTCAAAGGCATGTGGGGTATTTACTTTACCACCACTGACAGAGAAGATCCTAGACTGTTGTCATAATCCCAAAGGCAAGAACCAATTTTCCTTATTGATTACATTGTACTTTGCCATGAAACATCCAAAAAGTTAATTCACAAATGCTGAACCTAAGACCTCACAGTATTACAACAAAAATCTCCAAGTTAAAGGGTCCATACTCAGTATTTTCTGATCTATATCAGAATGTTTGCTCATCAAAAACATATCTGGGGTGAATCTGGATGTTTAACACACAAAACCTGCATATTTAGGCAGGCTGAGTTCTTCTCTCAATCAGAAAACACTCTTACCCCTTGTGATGTAATGTGATAATACAGGAACTCCATACACCTTCACTACAATCATTTGGATAATTTCAGAACTGGAATTTCCCATCTCTATTGGACTAAGGTAAAATGTACTTGAACTTGAAAACTACCACTTCATGACATCACAAGATGGAACAGAGCATTTGGAGCTATGGAGATGCTGACAGACTAGTAATAAAGGGTGACTCAAACACATGTGAATGAAACAAAACACAACTCCAGGTATGTTTCTGAGGAAGTAGCAACATTATAACATGGTTTAAAGAGACTTAAGAGACCATTTTGCATAATATAGGACCTTTCACATAGATGCCTCCATCTAGGTTATATATATTATTAGCCTATAAAATGTTGTGATGCCATCTGAAGTAATAGGAAAAGCTGTATCTTTTGAGCAGTACTCACGTTTGTGTGTGTCGGGGGGCGGGGGAGGAGAGGGTGCAATCTCAGGCTCCTTCTCCTCTTCTCCCTCCTCCTCGGCCAGGTGAGTGTGGGTGTAGTGGTAACTCAGACCAGGGCGGTTCTTATAGCGCTTCCCACAAACTAAACATTAGACAAAACACACAGAGAAAAACATGAAAATGTCATTTCAGTTCAAATTAACCACCATTTCTGTACTACCTGATATAATGTACAGGGCATGTTACCTTTCCAATCAACAATAACATTACATTAAAAATGTATAATTAGTAGTATAGTGAACATAAAACATGAGACATAAAACAGGAATTATAATCACGAGAAATCAATTCAATCTTTAATTTAACAAGTCAGAGTTGCTCTTCATTGGCACAGAATGGCAGTTATGTCTCAGTCAGTCTGCCCCAGGGCAGCTGTGGCTACAAGACTGTCTCACCACCAAGGCAGTGCTTGATTTGTGGATTTTTTATTGTTCTATTTATTACTAATTTATTATTGTATTTTAAGGATGTAAGTGTTGTATTTGATCCTTGTTTAAATTAAAATAGTTTAGTTTGCATAGATTTACAAAAAGCATTTTTCCATTGAGATTCAATTGGATTCATCAGTTTAATTTAGTTTAGTTTATTGTTTGTAATTAAGTGTGCTCAATAAAGATTACTTTTTACAATACTGAGACAAGCAAACAGCATACAGACTTTTTATTACGGCAAAGAAAGTGGTGAAATTATATTCAAGTGTTTTATAGCTGAAACAACCAAAATAAGCAACCAAATAAAACTGATGAATTAAACTACTGCTGTGCTGTCCTTAAAGAGGGGGTATTACACTTCTGTGGGTTATTATCTGCTAACTCATAACATATTTAAATCACCATGTTAGATATTATTGTTTTGAAAATGCTATAGTAACCGGAAACAATGTATTAGCATGTGTAAAAAGTTTTATTTGGAATATTGCCGAGTGCGGCCATGGATGATGTAGGCTTGTGAGCTCAGCACTGGACAGAATCACACAGCTAACCATGAGGAGGGTTCCAATAGGCCCCAGGAGGGATCAGTACATTACTGAAGCATGCATGAATGACATATAAAACCTATCCAGTCATGTTTTTGACATTATAATATGACAGAAAGCTCCCAGGAGTCCATTTTGAATAATACCCTCTCTTTAAGCATATCTTTGGTTTGTTTTGGGCAGAAGTGCTTGAATTGTAGCCATTATAAAGTCTGTCCTCATCCCCGCATGAATCTATAAACAAAACCAAGATGATTGTTCTCGTATTTCCTCCTTTAGTGAACTTCTACAATGGCTACGAGAGCTGGAGAGACACATGCTAAGAGCGGCTCTGAGTGGCGTTAGCTTTAGCAGTTGAGCGTTAGTGACATGCAATGCTTTACTGCAAAAAATGATCCCTACATGAGTTAAAACTACTTAAAGGTTCACTATATAACTTTTAAGAGCCACCACCTGCTTGTCTCCATGGAGATGTTATTGCTTTGCCTGGGATACGCCAGTTTTTTTTTTTGGTTTTTTTTCTATTATAAATTTTTATTGTTTACTCCACAAATCTAACTTGTAACCTGGCCGGGGGCTTCACATGCTTGTCTCCATGGAGATGTGATTGCTTTTCCTGGAATGTTTCATACCATGACATTAAACAGATCTATCTGTCTTGCATTTATTTAATTATGGATGTTTTAGTGCTAAATAAATCTGGCATTCTCACTGTGAGTGGGGTTATTCTCCACAGATCCGACCTTTAACATGGTTTCTTGGCTCCATGGAAATATGCTTAATGCCATACTGTGGAATATTCCAGGAAAAGCAATAACATCTCCATGGAGACAAGCTGATGGCTTAAACTCTATTAGAAAAGTTGCCTAGTGCGCCTTTAAAAACTTCATAGATATAATGATGACCGTATCGGATCATAAGTTTAAGGCAAAGCGCTAACATCTCCATGGAGACAAACAGATGACAGAAAAGTTACATAGTGCAACTTTAGCTCATGTAGACATTACATTTTGCAGTACTGGATTGACTATAAGGGATTTGTCTGCTAGCAATTGAAGCACATGTCAATAGAAGATTAGCCATTCTCACACCAGGTAAACGTCAAAGGGTAAGTTCATTCAACGGAGCAACCTGGAAAAACAAGGTGGCGGACAGATTCAGATACCTTCTTCAGCCCTTTTTGAGTTATGCTTTTGTTTGTATCTATCTGGAACAGAGAAGACACAAAAGCAAAAATAAAAACGACAAAAAAGAAAAATACAGAACAAGACACAACATAAAAAAGATGAGGTACATTTATCAGCTTGGTTCAAACTATAAAATGCATGCTACTGTCCCTAACACCATGCTGTAAAAACGCTAAGAGAGATAGAGAGACAGGAGAAGAGGATGTCTAGTTTTTGTAAATAAACTCCTAATAAATATTCTCAGGATTTGGTAAAAAGGGATGTTTTTAGGTTAAGAATCTTTGGCACAAATAAGGTAACACCACAATGGTTTTCACAGTCCACACCGCAAAAAAGTGAAACTAAATTATTTCAATTCAGACACTTTGTGAAATTGTGTCTAGTTCAGATGAATTCACATTTCTTGCAAAAGTGACATAAAGTGAAATGAAAAATGATGACTATAATATTATTTAGATATTATTTAGAGAGACTTGTTTAACTGTACAAATCAGCTCACTTGTTGTAGTTCCAGTTAAGTCAATTCTTTCTGGTCAGATTGTGTTCAAACAAAACTCAGATTAAAGTCTAACTTGAGTAACATGGCTTCAGACAGAGCAGCTCTTTCAGTTAGCTTCATTATTCATATTAAGAAATTATTCACATCTTTATTGTGAAAGTACTGAATTCACTTTCTTCTAGTAAGTCAATCTGAACTAGTCAAAACAACTTCATAATATTCTGAATCCAAGTAATTTTACTATAATAGAGATATCACTTTTTTGCAGTGTAGTAGGGGTAACATTGAACACCACCTAGAGGGGAAACAGGGGTACTGCGCTCTCTTACTGTCACAGACGTAAGGTTTGTCCTGGTCATCGTTGTTCACAGCCTCTGCCCTCCTCCGACTCGATCCTCTGTTCTGAGTGACACAAATACACAACCAAAATAATGAATACATTTGAAGTATAAACAAAGAGAAATTTAAAGGTCCTATATGACACTATTTTCTCATATGTTATAATGTTGTTTCCTCATCAAATACACACCTGGAGCAGTGTTTTATTTCAAGCACACAACACCTGCGTATTTAGGCTTACTTCTCCTCTCAAACTGAAAACACTGTGGTAATACAGGGAGTGCTCCACTGTGTTTTTAAACTCCATACACCTTCACTAGGAATTGGAAATCTCTAGTGAACAAAAGGTAAAAAGTAACAGTTAACTTGAAAACTAACTATGGTGAAACAGAGATGTAGACAGAATAATAAATGGTTCCTTAAACATGTGAATGGAACAAAACCTCACTCCAGGTATGGTTTTGAGGAGGTAACAACATTCTACCATGACTTAAAGCTCACGATAATCAATTTTATATAGGTCAGATCTGTGGAGAGGCATCCTCGCTCACAGTAAAATATATGTTTTTAAGGTATTTTTACACTCACTTTTCCTCTGTTCCGGTTCTTCCTCTTCGGAGTGTCCAGCTCAAAGTCCTCATCGTCCTGGAAAGCGTCGCCATTTTCTTCAGCTTCTAAAACTCTCTGAACACAAAGAACATGACAGAGTTAATTAGACAGAATTAACAATTATTAGACAAGTTGTATTTATGAGGATTCATTTTATAACTGAACTGAACTACAGTGCCTTGGTCAATCCAAAATATCAATAAACCTAAAATCTGAATAGTAAAAGTAAAAGTGAAGTTTTGGCATTCTTTGGAGAAAATCAATGTGTGTTCAATTATTGGGCAGCTATTATTGTGCAGAATTATTACGCAACTAAATGAAAAATAAACATTTTCCATTCTCATTTATTTATTTTCATCTGTCAGAATAGCAAACAACTCAAAATTTACAAATACACAATTATGACATAAAAAAAAAGCCAGTGGCCAATATAGTCAAACAAAAAAAGGAAATGATTTCAATTAAGAAACTTTATTTAAAAAATTGTGTCGAGTTCAGACTACTTCATTAACATTTCTTGAAAGAGTGACTAATTGAAGAACTATTGGCTAATGCTATTTAGCCTGTTAAGCATTTGTCTTCAGATGTTTCCAGCCTTGACGTTTCAACTTATGCTTCTTGTTCAGTGGTGGTCTGGTTTCAGCCTTTCTCACCTCGGCCATGTCTCTGAGCACTGAACACCTGCTCTCCAGGTAGGTTGCAGTTCTGAAATATGACAGCGCTGGAGGATAATGGGTCCCTGGTAGCTTCATGTTTGATTCTTATCAAATCTCTTGCAGTTAATGTGCGTCTTTTTTTCTCATGTTTCTTGCGACACTGTTGACTATTTGCAACAAGATGTTCAATGGTTCTGTTCTGATCACACCCCAATATCTTTGCAATTTCAAGAGTGCTGCATCCCTCTGAAAGACTCAGAGTCAGTTAGTGAGTCTGTCAGTTTTTTGGCACATTTTGCCTGAGGAAAAGAAGCTGCTTAATAATTCTGCACACCTTGATACAGGATGTTGTTGCTTAAATCTAATAAGATATGTTCAAAATACCCACTTGTCTAATAATTGTGTGTCTAGACTTAAATATCAACATTAAAAGTTTCATGACATAAAAACATAAAAAGCCTATGTATGGGCCAACCGTCAAGTCAGATGGACAAAATTAGGGATGGACAATGCTGTTAATTTCAGCATTAACTGTTAAATGTCGTATAACTCACAATGTTGTTTTATATGTATCAGATTCTTCAAAACAGTGTCCCTTTGCTTTGATCACTGCTTTTCACATTTCATTAGTGAATCCTGACTTTTCAAGATTTCACATCTCATTTCTCTTTCCTCACTTCCTTCTCTTTGATTCCTCTCCTCGATGCAGGAAATGGGTGAGGAAGTCCCACCCACAGAGGGAGGGGAGGAAAGAGGATCTAAACGCCTCACTGAGACCAATAAAGTTTGATTCTTTTCTTCTGATGTCTGCCTCCTGAAGCGTTCATCGTGTTTAATCCTTCCTGCCATGGTTTTCTTTGGGACACCACTTAACACGACACATTTGACTGACAGCTGAAAAATGGAGGATCGAGGAGCGGAATCAAGGAGATGGAAGCGAAGAAAGAGAACTGAGATGCGGCCCTAATCGTGAAGCTCACTGAGAGAAGGCCAAAGATTTACAGCGCTGTTGACATAATAAAGAATAGATACTCTGATGGATTCAAAATATCTTGTGTCTTATATTTGATGTTTTCTGTATGAATCTAAATCTAGAAAGTAGTAAAAATTAAGAAAAAGAAACAATTGTGGATTAAGATAAAAACAAAAAGATATGTCCCCGGTGAATACTCTGTCTGTACCTGTATCTCCAGAAGTGTCTCTTCGTCTTTGCTCAGACTCTTCTTCTCCAGCAGACTGTCTCCTCTGAGCAGAGCCTCGAGAGCTGTGGCTTCACCTGGAGGGCCCTCACGTTTAGGGGCCAACTCTGCCTCTGATCAGAGACAACAGACAAAGGCAGAGAGAGGGGAGAAAGGGGAGAGAGTGGAGAGACATAGAAGAGGAGAGAGGAAAAGTGGAGGTGAGGGGAGACAGGGGAGAGAGAGACAGGCAAGAGGAGAGGAGGGAGGAGTAGGGGAAGAGGAGAGAGCAGGGTCACAACAACAGGAGTGTAGATGAGGGAAAAGAGGACAGAGATAGAGCAGAGAGGGGTAGAGGAGGGAGAAGTTTGTCAAGTGAGTAACAGCACATAAGACCACATGTTCGACCACAAACAGAAATGCCAGAGTGATTTGGGAGTTGAACCGGGAACCCTCTTGCTGTGAGGCGAGATTTCTGTCCACTTACCTTAATTTTTCATATTTTATTTTTTTTCTGCTTGTCTCCATGGATTAGTTGCTTGCTTTGCCAGGAATGCCATACTATGGAACTTTAGTGTTATCGAAGCACTCTTAACAGCATTATTCACTCTGTGCGTAGGTTTAAGTCATGTTGGCACGGTGCTATGTTCAGAGTCAGATGGGAAAATGCAGGGCTGTCTCTCCTCATTATTATTGTCTATTTTGGTGCTTATGTGGGCGAAGGGTTTTCATCAAGTACATAAACTGAAAAAATGACAATCTTTTACTCAGAGACAATTCATTTGAAATAAGATAATACTTGTTTATATATGACGCCAAAAAAATCATTAAAAGGTTTGTACCCATTTTTTCCACATTTATCTGAGCAAAATGTGACTTGTCTCAATACAGCTATATTGCTCTTGGAGTCAAAATAAGTTGATTGTGCACTGTCTGCATCTAATTATGAAGCATCTCTGATAATTAGGAAGTGTGTCATTAGCATGGTAATTTAGTTGTTAGCATTACAGTGATGGCAAAACTCTGCTTGAAAAAAGTAGCTTGAAAGCGCTTAAAACTCATCACAGTGAATAATGATGCACGCTGTTTAAAATTTAGTTCTGGTTTTCAGATTTGTACAAAGTACCATTTCCTACATTTATTATTATTATTTTTTAAACCCAACTGCTCTTTTTACTGTGTTGATGATGGCATTGTTTTGACATCCAATAATCCAGCAAAGCCAAAGGTGACATTTTCAAGTCCAAAATACATATTTTCTGGGACATTTGCCTTTTTTTCTCATTTATCCACCACATGGCAGCAGAACGTTCAAGCAGCATCCTCAAAAGGGAAAAGTCTCCAGCCCTCATCTGGGAGTATGACATTCTACATCATCATCTAGATTCTGAAAACCACCAATACAGGGAGTAAATCCAGCTTATGTTTATTCAGCAGCAACAATTATTCAATTTTCTGTCCATATAAAGTTACGGTCTCCTCATCGTGCCCTGTTCCTTGCTCCCAAGCTTGTACTTTCTCTTTGTTTTCCGACTGTAGATTTTCTCAGGACTTAGACACGAAGCTAACTGTTTTTCCAGAACAAAGCAAAAACATTTCATTCACGACACCAAATGAGAAACACACTGTTCCATGTTCAGGTCACTGCTCTGTTCATGTTTCTAACCATAACTGCATCGAGTGAGTACTTTTAAATAAACTATTCTGATTTATTTTTATATTTTAACACTACCATAATTTCCCCCCCCCTACTCCTTTCATTCTCCAATTTAATTTTCTTAATCTGTGATACGCATAGGACTCAGGAGAACTGTGTTAATCATTTTGGTACGAATGAAAAAAAAAACAGCTGCTAGGTACTGTGATGTGCAGTTTAGGCATGGGACAATATTGAAATATGGTGTCATTATCATGGTCAAAATAACTGCAATTAACGATTATATCATGATAATTATTAAAGTTACTGACAGTTTAAACATGTTATGAATATGAATAATTATAACTGTAATGTTATAAATAGGTTCCAGATTCAAACTTTTATAGTTTTGTACTTCATCATAGATAAGTGGCTTTTTTCTACACATTCTGGTGATAAAATGGTGATTAACTTTGTTGGAGGTTGTCACAATTATATCAAATGTCCCATGAATGATTAATGTGTACCCTTTTTATCATGAAAAATGCTATTATTGTTTATTGTTCCATCCCTAGTGCAGCTATTCATAGGAGGAGCCAACAGAATGGTGGGATAATGTTTGCAGGATAATCTTTTATTAAGTCGTTTTAGATTAATATTGCAATTTAAAATGTCCAAATTATAACATAATGATCCACGGGGGTGTCATAGATTATAATTATATATTAGGTCTTCTTTAATGGCTTACTTCTCCTTGGGGACATTAAAGTTACACAGTGCAACTTTAAAAATACACACGTGAAACAGAAGACAACCTGAAGTAGGCCTGTCACGATAACAAATTTTGAAGTACGATATATTGTTAAGTAAATATAAGCAATAATACTGAAAAGAATTTATGCCACTGACACAATAATCCAGACGCAGGTTTAAGACACAAAACTATTCTAAATCTACAATATTGTTTCAAAAAAAAAAAGCATGAGCAGCAATAAATAAACAGCAGAATGAAATACTTTAGCAGTTACTTTGCATCTGTATGAGTAATAGAAGTTATTAACTCAAACTTTTACAGCTCAAATCTTTTAATATAGCCAAAAGATAACCACAAATTTCAAAGAAATACAAAGAAAATGTGCACACAATAAATACTGATGCCAAAAATATATTGTTTCAGGTTTCATACATTGAACGATAAGTCGATATAGTAATTCTCTTGACAAGCCTAACCCAAAGTAGTTTTTTTTTTGTTGGGAAAATTACTTTATAAAACGTTTAAAATCTCAAAATAATTTATCTTTAAACTGGCCAGAGCTGAACTAAAGCTGTGAGTTCTTTGTGACTCAGGAAACATTAAATAAACAGCAGTGGTGTATTTAAACGCAGAGGGAGCGACGCATTCCTGTGTCTGTGATACTGATCTGAGCTGCACAGACCACTGCACAAAACACTGCCCTACACCCAAGACCATTCAAAGTACTGTTGTCACGGTAACAAAATGTATAACTCGATTTTGATACTTAAAGGTGCATTATGTAACTTTTCTGGTGGAGGGTCTGTCATCTGATTTTTTTCTGTGCAAATGTTATTGCTTCACCAGAAATGCTCCACACTTATCAGTCTTGCATGTATTGCTTTATTTATTATTTTATTGCTAAAAAAAAAAAAAAGCATGAGCAGGGTTGCCCCCCCACAGACCTCACGTGTAACTTGGCTTGGTGGAGTCACGTTTGATGGAATATTGTGGACAAAGCACAACATCTCCATGGAGACAAGGAAGGAACGGACTCTCCACCAGAAAAGTTACACAAGCAGCTTTAAGAGAGAGAAGAACTACACCTAAATATGCAGGCTTTGTGCGTTAAACATGTGTGAATGAAACAAAACACAACTCCAGGTCTGTTTGTGATGAGGAAAACAACATCATAACATAAATCGGAAAACAGCACAATATGGGCCCTTTAACATGAATTTCCATGTACGGTAGTATTCCTTTTTTTCCCAGTTCATATCTGGTGTGTTGTTGGGGACTTTTTCTCATTCCCAGTGCAGTCCTGGGATATTGTATTACATCTGGGAGAGTCAGACGTGGAAACAATGGCTCTGGCTGGTCCCAAACAAAGAGCTGCCTTTAGCTGGGCCTTATCAGGTTCCTCAGGCATTCCTCTACTCAGAACAAAATACTGAAAAAACCCCAAGCAGCAAATACACACATGGATACACCGTGGAAGAGTATATAAGACTGCATTGGGTAACATCATTTGCATTTAAATTACCGTAACCATGATTTTTGGATTCTGGACTAGTTTAGTTTAAATTGTGCAAAAACATGGCTTTGTCAGACAGCTATCACCACTGATTCTGTGTATACTTAGATAGTACTTTAATGTGGATTATGCCTTTGTCAGTGAGTGGGAAGTTGGCAATGTCCTATTTTGGATTTGGGGTATTTATTCATTGGTTCATTTAGATTTTTGGCATGTCTTGAGATGGCGGCGTAGGATTAAATTAAACAAACTAAAGCAGAACTAGACTAGAACTAAAACAGGTCAACTCTAAATTCAGACTTAAAGGGCCTTTACACATTTTTCACCCAGGTATTTGAACAAACTTTGTCTTGCCCCAGTACAGATATATTGTATAAGCAACTCTTGAGGTCAAATTAAATCTACTGTGTGCTGTCTGCATCTAATTATGGGAGTGTAACAAGATCTAAGTCTCACAATACAATATCATTACCGTATGAACCTCACAGTACGATATTTATTGCGATATTGTGTGAAAGCTCATGATATGGTGGAGAGGCTCAGGATTAGGGCTGTAACAATATCCAAATCTCTTGGTACGATATTTTCATCTCACGGTATGATATTCAAAGTGGAGGCTCTGCTACTTTTTCCTATTAAAATATCTTGACAAGACCTAATCCAAAGAACTAAGACTTAAAAGTGTTTAAAACTGTTATTTCTTCTTGTAGTCTGCACTGAAATGGAGCAAAGGATCATGGTCTATGTAGTTCCTTTTGTCTTTTTGAGCTATTGTTGCACCATAACTCTTAATTTAAGCAAAGAGACTTGTGTTTCAATATATTGTGATGGTCCACGATATTATTATGAGAACTTTGACGATACGATATCACAACTATTTCAGTTAATGTTACATCCATATCTAATTATAAAACATTTTATTGTCTGAGAATCAGGAAGTCTGCTGTTAGAATCATAGTTGTTGTGAAAAGCACTTATAAACTCATGGTGGTGAATAATTAGGTCAGAATGCATTAGTTAAGGAAGGAATAACTTTGGACCCCTGCAACTGTTTAAAATGAACAAGTTCTGTTTTTCACGTTTTTAAGACCATAATAATCATGCACATTGAGATACATGATAGATGTTCATTTCCATTGGTGGAACAGTGTTAGCAAAGGTATTATTTTGTATTGTCCAAGTAATTTTCATTGTGGATCAATAAAGTTTTTCTAAGTCTAAGTCTAAGTTTGCGTGGAGATAATCAGAGGGTGGACTCTCCATCAACAAAATTACACAGAGCAGCTTTAAGTCATTTTAATTCTGTCGTAAGTATTTGTTTTTTACTATGTACTCTTTCCCATTGAAACTGTTCATACAGATGATTACAGAGGCGCGTTCAGGGGCAGCTCTGATGGAGTTTAGGGCGATTTGAGCCACCAAGCGACCAGATGACGGAAACAAGCTAAACAGAGCCATGTGTTTAAAACTACACACTACTGTTCAGAGAGAGTGGGAAAGAGAGAGACAGAGGCAGAAAGAGAGAGTCAGAGAGGAGAGTGAGAGGGACAGAAAGAGAGAGAGAGACAGAGAGGGGGACAGAGAGAGAGAAAGAAGGAGAGAGACTTTTTGTTTCATGTGGATAGGTCCAGTAATTACAGAGATATAAACCATAAACCAGGTCAACATATCTGCAATCTAAGCAGCAAATTCCACCATAGAATTCTGACCTGTCCTCCAGCATATTAATGTCTCACTGGACTTAATGTTTTATAACTTCAATAAAAAAAATGTTTTTTTGAGGCTCTGACTTTTTCACGTTCACTGGAAATGCTTGGATCAAAGCGTTGCTCCTAGCATTGTCAACTGAAAGAGTGAAGTAAAATGATTGAAATTCAAAATAATAATAACTGGTGTAGCAACAACATAAAAGATGCTAATCGTGTAGTTTAGATCTGATTAGTTTGTCAGTTCATATTTCAGTTCTAGTGTCAATGCTTTGGGACACATTGGACACACATTTTTGAAGTACATGTACATATTGAAATCATAGACGGTATAAAGAAGTGGACTTCGGCTGCAGTCAAATTAAGTTGTCAAGCAGTTACGGGGAAAATTTGGAGTTCCATCTTCCAAAACAGCAAAATAAAACCACAGGATCATGTAGAGTCGGTTAATATGAACATTTTAAGACCAAAATGGCGAGGCTCCGTGCTGCAGTTATAGAGAGACGGGTGACAATGTTGTAATGTAAAGTCAATTGGATCCTGAGTCAGTGGAGCCAAAAGCGCACCAATGTTCACTTCCTATTTTGAACGTGGCGGCTAGCGGGTTAGCTGTGTTCATTTGTATATACAGCCTATGGTCTAGTGCAGGGGTGTCAAACTCATTTTGGTCCGGGGGCCGTATCCAACCTACTTTGATCCCAAAGGGGCCGGATCAGAAAACCCATGACATATAAACCCCAAAAATAACAATAAGTTCAAATATTTGTGCAGAGAAACACAAATCTATTACAGAAATATTTTTTAATTGATGAACTCTTTCTTATTATAATATTATAATATTATGAACAACCTGAAACTTTAAGAAAAATTCTATTTCAACATTTTAAATATTTTAGTAGAAAATCACCCAAGGGCCACATTAAAGGTCTTGGAGGGCCGGATCTGGCCCCCGGGCCTTATGTTTGACACCTGTGGTCTAGTGTTTGGTGGTTACCTAGGCGTAGCTCGCAGAGTCGGAGCTGAGGGTCCAGAGGAGGGTGCAGTCTTCTCTTCTTCCTCCAGCAGCGAGCGGGGTACGTGTACATCTGACCCGCCGCCTGACCTGAACACAATACACAACAACAAAGAGATATTAACATTTTACAATATCTGATGCTAAGCAAGCCAATGAAAATCCTGGTTTAGTCCTAATTTATAGTCCTAGTTTAGTCCTGGTTTAATCCTGGTTTACATCTCATTTAGTCTTGCTTTAGTCCTAATTTAGTCTTGGTTTAGTCCTGGTTTAGTCCTCCTGCTTTAGTCCTGGTTAAGTCTTGGTTTAGTCCTGGTTTAGTCCTGGTCTAGTGCTGGTCTAGTCCTGCTTTAGTCCATACATTACTGCCTGAGAGCTGTATGTTGGATCTTGGCCTCAGTCTCACAGATTTGATTAAGGGGCCATTACATTATAGCTGGGAATCACAGGGTCTCTCACAATTTAATACAGAGCTGAATAAATTCCCTATTTGTAGACAAACCACTCTGTATATGTCAGATTTCAATAAAAATATGCTGCCAGAACCTGTGAAAAAAAATGAAATACACAGAAAAATATGCTGAACAGAAGCCAGTAATTTAAAATAATACTGTACAATGTATCACAGTATACTGTTTTATTCTGCTGTATTTATTTTTAAAATGTAAAAAAACAATAATATATCAGTAGGCCATTTCATATTTTGTCAGATGGTGAAAACACATAAAAAGCATCTTTCAGCTTCCAAGGCACCACTTTGACTTTCAACAAGTCAAAAAGGTTGGTGGTTCAATCATACTTTTGTTGTATCCTTGGGCAAGACATTTCACATTCAGGCTTGTTTATGTGTCCTGTCCAATAAGCATAAAGATCTCCTCACATGTTATCTCTTTGATGTTTTGCAGTGTTTGGCAGCTTCTGTTGAATTGCAGATGTGGGTCGCTTGTTTTGGCCGAAGGGAATGGTCCTCTTTCTCGCTCTCCTCTCTATCCTCAGCCTCTCCTCTCTTTCTTTTTCTCCTCTACCTCTCCCCTTACTCTCTCTCCTCTATCTCTCCTCACTCTCTTCCATCTCTCCTCTCTGTCTGTCTTTCCTCTTTCTTTCTCTCGCTCTATTGCTCATTCTCTCGTTCTCTCCTGTCACTTCTCTCTTGCTCCTGTCTCTCTCTGCTCCCTATCTCTTCAGTCTCACTCCTTCTCCCCTCATGTTTTCTCTCTCTTATCTCCCTTTCTCTGTCCTGCTCCCCTCATTCTCTTACTCTCCTCTTTCTCTCCTCAGTTTCTCTCCCCCTCTCTCTCATTTCTCTCTCCCTCTTTCTCCCTCTCTCCAGTCTCAGAGCAGTAACACAAATAGACTTGCGCTCAGTCTCAAACCCAGAGCCTCTGGACACACCCTGTACTTTGTGGCAGGTCACGTTTTCTGCTTTTATTTTGGGACTGTACATTTTTTAGACGTGGATCTGTTTCAATGTCATCTGAGGCTAAAAGTGAAATGTAGACTGAACAACTCGTGTCTATTTCGAGTTGTAAAAATTCCTATATTTCCTGTTTCCTACATCACAATACCCTAATGTACACTAATATTGAAATAGAGTTTGAAATTTGAGTTTGAATCATCACCACAGTTCTTCCAAAATCATCATCACCACAAGTCAAAACTTTCCATTAATCACTGGTATGTTTAATCCTGGTTTAATCCTGGTTTAGTCCCGGTTTAATCCCAGTTCAGTCCTGTTTTCATTGTGGTTTACACCAGGTTTAAATCTGCTTTATTCCTGGTTTGGTTCTGGTTTAGATCTGGATTAGTCCTGGTTTAAATGTTCTTTAGTCCTGGTTTAGTCCTTATAGACATTGATAGGGCAGAGTACCTGGTCTCCGGTGCTGTTTCTCCATCCAGATGTAGCAGTTGTTTTGAGCGACCCCTGTCTGTGAGTCGAGGAATGGCATGCGCACGCTCCTCTCTGCGCAGAGACGTGCATTATAGCTACGGCAGTGTTCAATGGCCTCTCGATAGAACTGATCTCCAAGGCTGAAAACACACAACGATAACACAGCTGAGTGACAAGTAACACAAGACTGAAAAACACAACGATAACACAGCTGAGTGAGGTCAAGTAAGGAGGTCGTGAGTTAGATTGAACTGGATTGCACAATGTATTTATTATAAACAATGTCAAAATCTCATCTTGTCTCGTTCTCTTTTAGTGTTTTGGTGTTTCGTCTCGTCTTGTGGAAATTTAATCTCGTACTACTCCTATCAGATATTAATCAATACTAAAACTAGTATCGAAACTAGACAATTATTTGACTAGGTTTGATACTACAAAAGTCTATCTTACATTTACTCAATTATAGGTGGTTTTATTGTCAAAAATACTTTGAAAAACAGCTATTCTTAGTATGAGCAGGGTTGCCTCTCTACAGATCTGACCTGTAACTTGGTCTGGTTTCTTTTCCATGGAGATAGAAAGGTTTAATACCATACTGTGAAACATTCTAGACAAAGCTATAACATCTCTATGAAGAAAAGCATTTCACAGACCCCCCCACCCCTAAAATTACACAATGCACCTTGTCTTGAAATAGGCCAAATAATTTCGGGGAAAATATTATAATTTATGTTGTAATTTGATATAATTCTCACAACTAGTCCTGTCACATGCTCAAATATTTTACCATCTGGACTTAGAAGGAATCGTACGTGTTGTTCGACTCCCCACAGGAGAATTAACGTCTCTGTTAATGTCCTTTTTATGGTGAATGGGAAAAACACATGTCCAGATCTGCTAATGCCTGAGTATGGTTACCACGTCAACAGCAAGATACCACTCCAAATGGAAAGGGCTGTTTTGACAGCACATCCCTTATTCAAATACGAAAGGTTTTAAAACATTGAAAGCAACAGACCAGAGCTTCAATGGGTAACTTTTTTTATGTCATTTAACTTTTCTTTCTCCATGGAGACAAACTATGTGGCTACCAGGCCAAATTACAAGTCAGATCTGTGGAGAAGTGACCATCCTTACAGTTAGAATGTACATTTGTCAACAGTAATAAAAACATCTGTATTGGATTAAACATAAGATAGATATGTTTAATGACATAGTGTGGAACATTCCAGGAAAAACAATAACATCAGGTTATGTTACATGGTCCTATATTATACAAAGTTGACTCATGTGAGCTTTAAGCCATGTTATAATGCTGTTACCTCATCAAAAGCATACCCACACTTATGTTTCACTGTGTACTTCCATTCACATGTTTATTATTAGTCTCTTTATATCTCCAAAGCTCAAAATGTTCTACCTTGTGATGTTATGTAGTGGCATTTCTCAAGTTAACCGCTCATGTTTACCTTTTCTTCAGAGAGACTGTAGAGATTGTCAATTCTAGGTCTGAAATTATCCAAATGATACTTATGAACCTGTACTGGGTTTACACACTCAGCAGAGCACTTCCTGTATTACGACATGACATCACATGGTGCAACAGAGTGTTTTCTGCTTGAGAGAACTCAGCCTAATATGCAGGTTTGTGTGGTAAACATTTGTGAAGGAAACAAAACACAACTCCAGGTCTGTTTTTGAAGACAAAACAGCATTATAGATCAGAAAATAGTATTTGATGAACGTTAGAGATAAAACAAGCAGGAACAATGAACCTTGTCACCAAAATTAATTTTCAGGTTGGAAATGTATGAGGAGTAGACTGTATAATGAAAGACATTATGCTGCTGGCCTGAGATGATTCAGATGTTGTTTTCAAAGTGAAGCATAAATATACGACACGACAAGACCAAAAATAAATAAATACATAAAAATAAAAATGAAGGAATGAGTAAAGACAGTGACAAGAAAGATTTACTGAGAGGAGGAGACAGGGTAACCACTCTGCCACAGTAAACTAATGTCTCTTCTGCATTGTGATTGTATTGTATTGATTGGATTCTGTTCAAAGTTCACATTTTAAAAGAAGAACTGATGCAAAAGACTGACAAATTAATACAAGAATCACATTTCAGAACATGTATACAGATCTAAATTACAGGGTTAGCAATTATTATGTAGAAAAAGACAAGACATTTTGTTGTTTGTGGGGGAAATTATGGTACAAAAATTGCTGGGCACAGACTCAAATCCCCAGCAAAGGCCGAAGATTTTGTTTTGGTCAGTCTGCTGCCTAAATACACACGAAGTTTTATGAACACTTTAATATGAAGAGAATGCTGAACAAAACATGCCTACAAGGTTTGTGCTAAAAAGGGCTGTGGGTGAGTTTGTTTTAAGTTTAAATCACATAATTTGGTGGAATGTGATCAAAACCGGTCCTACATATTGGCCCAAATTTATAGTCAAAGTTTATTGGCATGATCTGTATCTGCATTTGCTTTGAAAAAATCTGTAACAGACTTGGCAGCCATTTTTACCCACCGTCATCAATATGCTAAATATGAGATGCTTTTTTTCAAGATTGGCAGATATAACTGCAAAAACCCACTGACATTGGCTGATGCTGATATTGGAACTGATTATTGCCCATCCCTTTTTTTTTTTTTTACATCTTGGCCCATTGCCCCCTCCTCTGTGTTGAAAAACTGCATCTTTGTGAGTTTCATATTAACCAGGCACTTATGTCCTCTCTCACATTCTTAACATTTCTGAGCATTTCTGCAGCAAGAATCTGTCATTTGTTCATTTATTTAGATTAAGCAAATGACTTCACTTGTAGGGACCAGGATGCATGGTTTTGGAAAAAAACAAATCTAAAATAAATAATGATTTTTCTGACAAGGATTGCCATTTTAATTAGATTTGCAATGTATGTTTAAAAGTAGGATTCAACTCCAGGAGTATTAAAAGGCCTGTATCAGATTTTTTTCACCATGTATTTCAGGAAAAGGTGTCTTGCCCATAGACATGTAAATATAAATGTACATAGCTAACCCACTTGCCAGGTTAGTGTGCATGGTGGCGCTTCCGGCTCCATCGACTTTTTTTCCAGTTGACTTTACATCGAGAAATCGTCACCTCTCTCTGTAACTGCTGCAGTGAGCCTCATCATTTTGGTCTTCAAATGTTCGTATTAACCCGCTCTACATGATCCTGGTGCTTTTATTTGACTATTTTGTATCTAAATAAATTCCATTTCCTAATATGGACCTCGCTCCAAATTTGCTCCTATAACTGCGAGCTTCATTTGACTGGAGCTGAACGCCTTCAGACACGTCACACTCCCTTAGTCCACTTCTTTATACAGTTTATGGTCTAACTCCAGATGTATTGTACAGTATAAGCAGCTCTTGAGGCCAAAATACATCCACCATGTTTTGTCTGCATCTAATAAGAAAGTGTTTTATCCTCCAAGAACCATGCTAGTTGCTTATAAACTCCCTCATTGCAGTGAATAGTTAGGGTGCTCAGTATGCATAAGGTAAGTGAGGAATAACTCTGGACCACGGCAAACTGTTTCAAATGAACTAGTAGTGCCTTTTATATGTGAGAGAAGACTGAAAACGAATACAAAAATCCGATGCATTTGAATAAAAGATGGTTTGTTCTTTGCAGAGAACATTCTATTCTTTAAATAATTGCAGTCTTTGAAAACTTTGCCAAGTGAAATTGTGTTTTCTAGTAGGGACTTGCGTTCGGTTCACAGTGTGCCCTTTAAACACTTCCAGAGGCAAACATTTGAGAGAAGGTTGAAATTTGAACTGCTAAAATAATACAAGAATCATTTCAGGATTTCAGAACATGTTTGTCGAGGTCAGGGCTGTCAAAAGTTTCGGAAATAAGATACTAATTGATGGTGACACAAGTATCGAAACTAGATCTTGAGCTCTATCAGAACAAGTATAAGAGCACATAGACTAGTATACGCTCATGGACCACTATGGAACCTTCCTGCACCACTGACGATTACACAGATATAAGACCACATGGTAATTTAAAAGAAAGCACTACAATTAATGTTGAAAATCACATTCAAAATTAAAGGGTTACCAGTATTTATGCAGAATAAGAGGATATTTTATAGCTAGGTTGGCGCCACCTAGTGCCTCTGCTCAATTTCATTTCTCTCCAGCGACTAGGTCAGAAATCAAAATACACTAGACAGTTCACAAAAATCCCGGAAGTACGAGCTCAGGCACCAGCCAATCAGCAAAGCCGTACATTTTGTGTGGTCAACAATTCCTGAGATCGAGGATTTAAAGCCGAAATAAAGAGAATGTTTGGTGAATTTTATCAAGGGGAAAGACGTTATTGTCCTTCTTCCTACAAGATTTGGGAAAAGCTTAATATACCAGTTAGCCCCGTTAGCAGCACATTACATACATCACAAGCAAATAGCAGCAATTGGTTAAATGCAAAAAAGTATTTGCTTATTGTTGAGCGAATGAATCCTAATGCTGCGAGGTCAAACGGTTTCCACAAAGTGAAACCAGCTGGTGAATCAGGCTATATATTTTATAGTTTGTGGAGGAAATTATGATACCTCAAAAATTACAGCCTTTGCAATTTGCTAATTGCATCCATTCAAATTGCAATTTCGATTTGTGATTCATTAAATTCTAAACTACAGGGTTAGCCGCTTTTATTTCTCAAATAGGACATTATAAAACCAATGCAATTTGCCAGTTGTGATTATCCAAACTGTGTATTCATTTCTGTTTAATCTTGATGATAAATATTCATACATGGCCTGTTTAATCCTGTGTCTGTGCAGGAGCAGAGGAGCAGGGGGTGGGTCTTTGATGTGAGCTGTCAGTCATTCTCCATTTACATCCTCTCCTCATGCTTTGTATTCGACACATTAAAAGCATTTATTATCAAGGATCACTGGTTTATTTATAGCGTTGGCGTGTATGATTGAGAGATGAATTTCAAATGTTGTTAGCCTGGTTTTAGTCTTACAAGGAAATAAATGGCAAAATGGTTATCACATCACCTTGTTACAAGAACATCCCTGGTTTGATTGTAGTGTGATTTTCAACACTAAACCACAGTATTTTCTTTTATCTCACCAGGT